AATAATTTTTTTTCACAACATCCCATTATACCAGCCAGAATATGAAAACCCTAATAATGAAATAAGAACATTTTATCACTCGGGGCAAAAATTCAAACTACATGGACAGAATCCATATCCCAAAATTTCAAAATTCGATAATTTCAACATCAGAGGCTTTTGGGTACCCATTATACTCCAATTTAACGTTCAGCGTGGCACAAATAGCCCTAAACTTGAGCCTTAACGAGTTCATAATATCAGATACGGACTCGTTTTCAGGGTCGGATATCGGGTACTTCTTGAGCAATTCATCCATCTGGCTTATGGTTTTCTGTGCCCGGGTCGAGAAGTGATTCGGGTTGACCCGGATACCGGACTTCCAGATGTCGATGCAGCCTCTATAAAAACCCAATTCTTCCCCCACTTCGAACCCGGTTTTCAGACCCACCTGGCGTCCTTCTTCTTTACCCGATACTAACCCGTTTGCATAGCCATCTTCGTAACCTTCTTCGTAGTTGGTTTGTTCTAGATTAAGCGCAGAATCAAACATGTCTCCAATGGAATCCATTGAATTTGTGCGTCAGTGCGTGGTGGTAGATGTGATGCGTACCGGCTACAGATAGGAGAGTTTAGCTCAAAAGTTGATAGTGTTTGTGAAAATTAAAGATTCACTGATGGGAAATAAGTTAAGATCTAAAACTATTTTGCACAAAAATTAAGAGTTAAGAGCAAACCCAAATGCTCGAAATAAATACTAATAATAAATTTCCCTTTTTGTGATGAAAACAATTAAGTAAAATAATTATGTTAAAATAGTTTTTATGTCAGTACAAATAAGTAGTTGAATTAACAATTTTGTATTCTAGTCATTTTTCTGTTTGGTAAACATTTTTTTAAAAATCACTTTTGGTGGTTTTTCAATTTCAAAATACTATTTTTAGTCCTATTTAACAACCATTATTTCAAAACTCTATTTTTCACATACTCATTTTCAAGGGAGATTTTTCTAAATGACCTGCCACTATTCATTTTTGATAAAATGTCTATAATACCCTTAATGAAAGGATTTGTCATATTTTGCACAAGATATCCTTAATTTATTGGAATAATTCTAAAATTCTTCTATTTCTCTCATTTCGAGTTTTAATATATAGTTCCATCCTTTGATCTAATAAATTAGTATAATCTGTAATATAATTATCATGTAATTCATTAAGATTATCATATTCCTTAGATGAAATATCCATAGTTTCTAGTTGAGCAAAAATATTTCTTATTTTTCTTAATAGTTTTTCTAACAGATTATCTAATCCTTTAATTGTATAACATGGCATTATTCAGATAATTTCTTGCAAGCTTTATGAATAATAATAACATGTTAGATAAGTTTTTTACAAACATGAAAAGTAATAATCCCTACGATTCTTTCAAGATATTAGAAGAATTCTTTCTAAATTTAACAGAGACAATAATTTTACCTTACTTTTGATCTTAAATCTGTATTCTTAGAACCGAGTGACTTTCAGGCTCTGAATCTGCAAACTGCTCCCTCAAACGGCCTTTTGCCTCAATGGGAATTTTGCTATTTCAGCTTCTGCCTTCACTGTATCTTTTCTTAGAATTAAGAGTAAAGATCTTAAGTAAAGAAAATTCTCTCTTTGTTAAAGTAAGAAAGAGATTATCTTCTTCAATCTATCAAGAATCTATAGGATAGGAAGTTTAGAAACTCATATCTTTCTGATATCAAAAGATTGAAATTTTATTTCTATAATGATTTATACAAGATTTCTATTGGATACAAGGGGTTTCCAGAAAAACTGGTTTTGAAAATTTAAGGAAAGAGAATGGTTTCTAACTCGAGATGATCCATTCTCTTCCAAAGACCTCTATTTATACATGACTCAAACTTACTATTATTGATCTATTACATCATTGCATACATCAAAATTTGAAAAAAGGCTCACATGCCTCTCTATTCTTTTCCTCCTGGGGTCTACATTTTCACATACATTCTTTGCTTTTCCATCAAAGGGGCATCTTTTTCTCTATTATTGCCTTTCCATCTTTGGCTCAATATGCAGCTGGCTAGATGCTTTGGTAGTGGTAGGTCCCCTTTTATCTATCTCCATTCATCTTTTATCTTGAAGAATCAATCTTTTAATCTTGTCTGCATGTGGGGCACTCCATCAATCTGCATGATTCTTGGATTGTTGTAGGACTTCTATTAATTTGATAAGTATCAAATTTTTGGATATATTCTTTCAAAATGGTAGATTTTTCTTTTCCATTATTCGTAAGGAGTGTCCATCCTTCATATTGGCATAAGCATCTGAATTTTTTATCATATAAGTTCTTTGCAATGTTGTAAAGAACTTTCATCCCCAAAACTCTTCGAAATTTTATCCATGATTTATTGATTTTAGGTAATGGTTTATTATTTCGGTCAACTTCAATCTGAAAATCTCGGCCAACATATCCAATTGTAATAATATGTTCAGCAGGATAATATATCATTCCATCAACCTCGGGACTTATTGAATAAAATTTGATATAAATCGATCTCCCTTGGACAAATTTTGAAACTTCTGCTCTGAATATATCATCAAATTTTTCAATTTCTTTTAAATCTTTTTCTAGATAGATCAAATCCAGAAATCCATAATCTGGTGCCATTTTGACCATGAAAGGGTCTGCATCTTTGGTAATTATTAATCTGGGATAAACATGATCTCCCGATGCAATAAAATAAGATTCATTTTCTTCCAATTCACAAACAATTTTGGCAAATGATCTATATTCTTCTTCTTTTGATGATAAAGGGGTATCATCATCTTCATCAGTTTTAATTCTTATAACTCTTGTATGTTCATCACCATTTTTTATAGTGACCTTTATGTCTCGTTTGATATTGCTGGGTCCACTGCTGCTTCCTGGCTGTGTACCTGTTTGTATTTTTGAGATTGTATCAATTGGTATTTCCTGTTTGGTATCTAATGACTTGAATTGTGAAGTAATATCAACAATTCTGTCATTCAATTCTTTGGTATATTTGGACTGAGAATTAGAGATTTCCACCAACAATTTGACATTTTGTTGGATAGATTCTGCCATTTCCTCTAATTGCTCAATTCCAATTTTCATATCTTCAGATTCTTCCATGAGGAATTTCATTCGTCTGTTGACGTCTATTAATGAATTTTTGATATTATCCATCTCCAAATTCGATGTTCCTGCTCAAAAAATCTGCAAGATAGTTATTTATTCTTTTAATATGAGTAATATCAAAATTGTAGAATGATAAATATGCTTACCATCTGTGTAATCTCCTATATTGAGGTTTCATAGGTAACTTATTTCTAATAAGTCCTGCAACTTGAGAATTATCAGTTTCAACAATAAATTTTTTAGATAAAAGGAATAATGAAAACTTTTTATTCCTCTAATAATTGCTAGTAATTCTTTTTCATAAGTAGTATAATTTATTTCTGCATGGTTAAAAGTTCCACTTGAATATCTGCATATTTCATTTAAATCTGTTTTTAATATAGCTGCCCAATATTTATCCGAGGCATCAGTATTGACAATTAGATTATCTTTTTCATCTGGTAATCTTAATTTTGGTAAATTTTTACATTCTTCTTTTAATGATTTAACAATTTCAGTATGTTCTTTATTCCAACATTTAGTATTTATTTTCCTAAGTAGAATTTGTATCTTATGTCTCTTTTTTGAGAGATTTTCAATAAATCCTTCAGTATAGTTTAAACATCCTAAAAATTTTTGTATTTGTTCTTTGGATTTTAATTCATCTGGAAAGCTTTCTATCTTTTTAGATATATGAGTCTGTAATTTTATTCCTTTTCTATCTATTGATAATCCTAGAAAATCTATTTCTTGTTTCTCTATTATAGATTTCTTTTTAGAAAGTACAATTCCTTCCTTTTTGCATTCATTTATAAATTTTAATAAATGATTCATATGCTCTTTTTTATTATTAGAGCATATTAGTATATCATTAATATAAATAATAAGAAAATTACTATACTTTTTGAATATATTATCCATTTTTTTTTGGAATATTTGTGGTGCATTTTTTAGACCAAATGGCATAACTAACCATTCATATTTTCCTTGAGGTGTACTAAAAGCTGTATATTGTATACTATCTTCTTCCATTTTTATCTGCCAAAATCCTGATTTACAATCAAATTTGGAATAATATTATTTTCCTTTTGCAAGGTTTATTAGGACTTCTTTATTTGGTAAAAAGTAGCCATCAAATTTAGTATATTTATTTAATTCTTTATAGTTTATTACCATTCTAACTTTTCCTCTAACCTGCTCAGAATGTTTTATAACCATAAAAACTGGACTACTATGGGGTCCATTACTGGGTCTAATTAGCTTTTGTTCTAATAGTTCTTTTATCTGACTTTTAAATTCTTGCATATTCTGTAAGGTATATATCATTGGTCTAACTCTTATTATAACATTTTCTGTTAATTCTATTTTAGTTTTAGGATGATATGGTTTCCAAAATAATAATGGATTTTCTCCATAAATTTTTTCTAATTGTTCTATGATTTTCTCCATACTTATCTCTATTTCTATTTTTAGAAACTTTTTATATGATAGTTTTTTATTTTTTAGTTCATCTTGTATTATTGGTCGTTTTTCCCATTTATCACCACGCTGGGCTGGCTGAACTCTGTAGGGTCTAAATTCTCTTGGTATTTTTAATAGATGTGCACAAGGTGTTTGTAGCATTATCTTGTAATTATTTTGTTTGTAATATTGAAATTGTTGGATAAAATCATTTCCTAATAATATATCACATTCTAACTTATTATAATTATATACTTTATTTATTATGACTTGTTTACTACCAAGTATTATATTAACTTTTTCAGCACTATTAATTATTTGAGTACTTTCTCCAGTCACTCCTGTTATTTTTATTTTACTATTTTTATTCCATGATTTTATTAAGAAATTTTTAAAAATTGTTACATCACTTCCTGTATCAATCAAAGCACAAGTTGTTATATTCGTTTCTACTATAGTAACTTGTATATATACTGCCAATGGAAAACTAATTTGATTATTCATTCACTTCCTATTTTATATAATGTAGTTTGACCTTTATGAGTTATATATAATCCTTCTCTTTTTATAATCTTCTAATCCATTTAAAAAACTCATTCCTAATAATATATGAGGTTCAATATCCATACTTTCATCCAAATAATATGATACTAAAAGATCAATCCCACCTATTTTTATTGGTACCTTTACCTTTAATTCTGTAATATATAATTGTCCATCAAAATTCCTGTATTCATATGGTTCTATATTGTAAGTCGTTAATCCTTCATTTTTATTTGCAGCCATATGACATTCACCAGCTCCTGTATCTATCAATATATTTGGTCCTTTTATATATCTTCTACCGTTGAAATATTTTCTTTCTATTTTCATATTTCCAATATTTCTATGAGGTTTTATTTCTTTTATACCACTAGTTTCTCCTATATATTCCTTTTTATTAGGTAGTCTAAGACTTTTTGGTTTCTTTATCAACCTTCCATTATGAAATGTTATTTTATAATCTTCTTCTTCTCTTAGCTCTGTTATTTCAGGCTTGTTTTTAGTTATATTAAATTCATATTCTTCTGGAATAAGATTTATTTGTTTGTTTGGTTCCACTATTTTACTAATATCCTTACATTCCTTATGAAT